CCGGCCGCCGATCGGTGCCTCGCCTGCCAGGCCGGGCATGTCCTGCACGCCGGGGCGTGTGTGGCGGTCTGCCCGGCCGGGGCCTACCCCGAGCCCGGCGACGGCCAGGGCCCTGACCCCGGCGACCAGTGTGCCCCCTGCCATGCGGAGTGTGCCGAGTGCCTGGGGCCCCGGGCGGACCAGTGCCTTGCCTGCCCGGAAGGCCGGTCCCTCTTCCAGGGGGCCTGCGTGGCGTCCTGCCCGCCGGGCTCGCATCCGTCGCTCGGGTCCTCCGGCGAGCTGGCCTGCGCGGCCTGCCACCCGACGTGTGCCACCTGCCAGGGGCCCGGCCCGGAGCAGTGCACCTCCTGCCCGGCCCCGGGGCTCCTGCTGCTGGCCAGCAACACCTGTGTCGACGCCTGCCCCGGGGGGCACTTTGCGTGTGCCGACGGCCGGCGCTGTGGGGCCTGCCAGCCGGAGTGCCGGCAGTGCCAGGCCGCGCCGGCGGGCCACTCGCACCCGGCCGACGGGGGCTCCTGCGCCAGCATGTGCACGCGCTGCCAGCCGAACTGGGTCCTGGCCATGGACGGCCACTGCATGCCCCACTGCCCGGGTGGGGAGTTCCTGCCGCAGGGGCCGGCCCTGGCGGAGGACCTGGCCGCCGGCCGGGCCGCCTGCGTCGCCTGCCACCCCGGCTGCCGGACATGCGCCCACCAGGCGGACTGGTGCACCTCCTGCGTGGCATCCGACCAGTGGCTCCTGCCGGCCTCCGGGGTGTGCCAACCTGGCGGGTGCCCCTCGGCCGGCATGGTGCCGGGGGTGTTTGATCCGGCCGACGCCGGGGGGCCCTGGCCCGGGCCAGCTCGCGTGTGCCTGGCCTGCGCGCCGGAATGCCGGGTGTGCGGCCCGGAGGCCGGGTCGGAGTCCGGGCCCGGCGGCGCCGGCCCCCCGGCCGAGACATGCCGCTTCCTCCTGCCGACCGGGGCCCTGGAGTGCTCGGCGGTGGCCGGCTGCCGGAGCTGCCACAGTGGCTGGCTCCTGGGCCCGGACCCGGGCCTCCCCTGCGTGCAGTCCTGCCCGGATGGGTATTTCGCCGAGGCCGAGGAGGGCGCCTGTGCGGCCTGCGCGTCGGGCTGCGCCGCGTGCGATGGCCCGGGCCCGGAGGACTGCCTGGACGGGCCGAAGGCCGCGCCGGCTCGCCTGGCGCTGGCCCTGGGCCTGGGCCTGGGCGGGCTGGTGCTGCTGCTGCTGCTGCTGCTGGTGGTGCTGCTGCTGGTGCGGCGGTATCGGCGGTCGGCGGATGCGGCGGCCCGGCGCAAGGGCGCCGCCGCCGGCGACCCCGGCCTCGATGCCGACGCCACCGTGCTCAACACCATGGTCGAGCTGTCGCTCCCCGGCAGCATGATGGTCAACCTGGCCGGGGACTTTGCCCCGCTCAATGAGGGCCCGCTGGGCTCCGGGACCCAGGCCACGGTGTTCGCCGCGCGGGCCGTCGGGGCCGGCATCTCCGACCGGCTGGGCTGCCCGGCCACGGTGGCCGTCAAGCAGCTCCGGGCCCCGGCCGCCGGTGGCCCGGCCCCGGGCCGCACGCCGGTGGCCCTCTTCCAAAATGAGATCTCCCTGATGTGGCTGCTGCGCGACTGCGCCAATGTCGTCCGGCTGTATGGGTACAGCGAGCAGCCGCCGGCCATCATCATGGAGCGCTTCCAGACGGACCTGGCCACGTTGCTGCACTCGGAGGTTGCCCTGCGGCCGGGCGATGTGCTGGGCATCTGCCAACACTGGGGTGCGTTGTGTGTCCCCCCGCGCGGGGGCCCCTTGTTTTTTCTCTTTCCTTTTTTTTTTTCCTTTTTTGCCCGTGCTGCCTGTGCAGCCCCGCTCGCCGGCCTCCTCTCACACCCGCCCTGGGCCGCCTACCCTGCCCAGCCACCGGTCTGGAGGCCATGCACCTGCAGGGCATCGCCCATTGCGACCTGAAGCCCGGCAATGTCTTCGTCAACCAGCAGGCTGACGGGGGCTGGCACGCGGCCCTCGGCGACTTGGGCACCAGCCGCAACCTGTCCAGCGACCGGTCGTCGGCCCTGACCACCGCCCCGCCGCAGCTGAATGCGCTGACCGCGCGCTACGCCTCGCCCGAGGTGCGTGCTCCTGGGTCCCTCCCTGTGTTCTGTCTTCCTTGCCTGGGGCCTTCTCTGTGTTCCTTTCCCATGTTGCCTTCCTGTGTTGCCTTCCTGTGTTGCCTTCCCATGTTGCCTTCCTGTGTTTCCTTCCTGTGTTGCTTTCCTGTGCTCCTTTTCTGTGTTGCTTTCCTGTGCTCCTTTCCTGTGCTCCTTTTCTGTGTTGCCTTCCTGTGCTCCGCCCTGTGTCCCGTCTTTTCCCCTGTGCTCCGCCCTGTGTCCCGTCTCTCCCCGTGTCCTGCCTTCTCCATCGGGCCCGCCATTTCCTCCCACCCGCAACTCACCATTTTCCCCTCCGTCTATCTCCCCCCTCTCCCCCTCCGCCGGATTGCAATGGGCACAGGTCCTCCTCGCCTTCCGCCGCAAGACCCTCCTGGACCGGGAGCTCTTCCTGGCGTCGGACATCTACAGCGCGGCCATCATGCTGTGGGAGTGCCTGGCGCGGGCGGTCCCCTGGGACGGTGCGACCTGCTTTGGCTTGGATTTTGCGCCTGCTGCATTTGTCTCTTTTTTCCCCCCCCCCCCCCCACCCTCCTCGCGCTCGCGGCCCTGACACCCTGTCGTCAATGATTGTCTCTCGCCGTGCGCGGTGGCCCGGCATCCGGGCAGGCTGTGGCTTCGAGCAGATCCTCGAGGCCACCCTGTCCGGCGAGCGGCCGGACGTGGCCCAGGCCACCCTGCTGGCGTCTGCGGCCGGGCCCCTGCTGGACATGCTCCCGCTGGCCTGGGATTCGGACCCGCATGCGCGCCCGGTGGCCGCGGCCTTCCGGCAAAAGTGCTCCATGGCCTTCGTCACCCTGTGACAGGGGCCCGAGGCCGCCCCCCCCCCCCCCATTTCCCCCTCCCGCCCCCTCTCTGATACAATATTTCACACTCCTTCCCCTTGCTCGAGGCCGGCCCACGCCTCGGGGGCCGCGCTCTTCTTCCCTTTTGTCGCTGGGTTTTCTCGCTCCGCCTTTCGGCCCCGGCTGGCGGGCGTGCCCTTCCCCCGCCCCGGGCGGGGGCGAAGGAAGCGCCCATATGTGGCGCGCCGCAGCCACCCTCCCTCAGTCCGAATGATGTAGATGGTTATCATATCTGTCTAACACACAGAATGTCCCAGGTTCGAGTCCTGGTTCGGACAGTGTTTCCTTTTTTCGGCGCCCGGCCCCCTCCCCGCGAGGGCATTTATCCCCTGGCCGGGGCCCCTCCCCCACGGAAGCGCGTCGATGGTTTAGTGGTAGAATTGCCGCCTGCCACGCGGTAGACCCGGGTTCGATTCCCGGTCGACGCACGCCGCCGCTCGTTTAGCTCAGTGGTAGAGCGCCAGTCTAGTAAACTGGAGGTCGGGTGTTCGATCC